GCGATGTCGGACGCATCAGTTTCAACAACGAGAGGAATATTGTAGTCGACAGTAACTACCATCGCATTTTCTAGTTCGTGTTTAAGGTTCTCAAATGCTGTTCGGGCATTCTCCGGGAGCGGAAATATTTTGTTTTTAACCAATGGATGAATTTTGTCAGAGAACGCCGGTATCCACTGTGAATAGTAGGCAAACAAACCAACGGCTCTTTGCTGCGATTTCCCGTTCTCTGGAAGTGGGAGTTCTCTTATGGGGCGCATGCGTTCTGGGTCAGGTCTTATAATACCTTTGGAGACCTTGTAACCTAAGAGAGTAATCTCTTCAGTTGCGAAGCTGCTTTTCGTATCGTTCAAAGTAATATTGTATGTTTTTGCGACATCGAGAAAATGCCTAAGATTACGGTCATGTTCATCTCTCGTTTTGCCGCATATAGTGACGTTATCGATATAAGCGAATGTGTCTTTTACCTGTTCGGCTTTGATTATATTGTTCAGCGTTCGCTGAAAACACGCGACCCCGTTTGTCACTCCAAAAGGAATGCGCCGAAACTGGTATAGGTTCCCCCCAGCTTCGAACGCTGTGAATGGCTTGTCTGACTCGATTATTGGAACCTGATGATATGCACTCTGGAGATCCAGTGTGCTGTAGACAGTGTAGCGTGCGATGGTTTCAATCATTTGGTCGAGCCTTGGTAAAGGATAAGCGTCAAGGTAGGTGAAGCGATTGATTGTCTGGCTGTAGTCTATCACCATGCGTCTCTTGTGATTTGCATTGCGGGTAACGAGCACTTGTGCTCTCCACGGAGAATTTGATGGTTCGATTATGCCATCGGTAAGCATTTGGTCTACTTCCGTTTGTATGAATTGTTCATCTTCCGGTGTATGACGACGAGATTTTGTGGCGATCGGTTTGTAATTTGGAGCAAGATTGGTGAATAAGGATGGAGATTCCAGTTTTGCGGATGTTACGCCACATACAGTTAGGGTACCCCGTTGACCACCGAATGGAATTTCGACTTTATCATGTAACCCCAGAAAGTCATGTCCGAGAAGGACGTCTGCACAAAGGTTCGGTAATACACAAAGTCTGAAACGTTCGTATATAGCATCCTTGTACTGAATGGACACAAGGCAATAACCTTTGGTGGAACATGAATGTATCGTCGACGCCATTGTTATCACAGAGTCGTACGGAAATAGCTCCCAGTTATGAGTTTGCAGGATTGATGAAGAAACGAAACTTTTGGAGCTGCCGGTATCAATGAGAGCTCGGACAACAACGCCGTTGACCAAAATATCTGTTGTAGTTTTGGATAGGCAATTGGGAGCAGCAGCACAAAATAGCGAGGAGATTGAGGAGTCTTGAGCTGAACCCGCGTGATATTTCGAGGCTTTGGACCTACAGACACGTTGAAAATGTCCAATTTTTCCACAACTCTTGCACACTGATTCTTTAGCGGGACACTTATAACGAGGGTGCTTGGGGTTGCCACAAAAGTAACATGTTTGTTGTGTAGCGGCCGAAACTGTTGTTTCGGAATTAACAATGGGTAAAGGAGTAGATACCGAACAAGTAACGGGTTGTCTGTATACGTATGATTGTGACTGTTTTTGTGCAAGTTCGAGAGCTCGCGCGGCTTCATGGGCTTTGTCAAGGTCCAATTCATGCCACGTTAGCAGTTTCTCCCGAATGGTATTCGACTGCAATCCGGTTATCAGAGCATCCCGAACTGCTTCGTTTGTATGTTCCACAGCAGATACTGCTTTGAATTCACAGTCTTTAGCAAGCGATTTCAGTTTTTGAACGAATTGGTCGACATCCTGACCAGGTTCTTGTTTGTATGTGGCTAAAAGATGGCGTGCATACACGATATTTTTCGGGCGGATGTAAAGTTTTTCCAGCAAGGTTATCGCAGAATCGTAGTCGCTGCATTCTGCGATGAAGTCATACACTGTATGGTCGATGTGACGAATGAGAGTTTCCAATTTATTTAGACCTTCGGGTTTGACTGAGTTAATGTAAGCTTTGAAAGTACGGAACCAATGAGTCCATCGTTTCATGCCATCTGATGAGTGAGGATCGGCATCAAAAACCGTAGGTCGGAGAATATGATCCATTTCGTTTTTATTAGACGATTAAATTGTTGCGAGAGTCGAGTAGTTCCAGGACGGGAAAGGAAAGGAGACAGAATAGGAAGACGTAATGTACGCTTTAATCGTCTAATAACTGTAGTACGTGAGCTGAAAACAGAGTGAGAGAGTTAATGGGTCTTTCGTGGTTTGAATTTTTCGTGACCATTACTTGAGCCCTCCAGGAAAAATTCAAAGGTTCAATTATTCCCTCATCCAATAGTTGGCTAACTTCAGATCGGTTGAACTGTTCATCGTCAGGACTATAATGCCGTGATTTCGTGGTGATAGGCTTGTACTCGGGTGAGGTTAGCAAAAAGAGGTGATTCAACCGTGGCAGCAGTTCTACCGCAGAAGATGAATGGACCTCGGTTTCCACCGAATGTGATTTCAACTTTGTTATGTAGATTATGTGAAGGCCTGGCAGCACGTCAGCATAGTTTGGGTAACAACAATAGTTTGGCTTTTTTGTAAGCAGTACCCCTGTAGTCTATGGATGTGTAGGAGTAGCCGCTAGCTGAACACGTCAGAAAGGTACATGCCATGGTAATCACGGAGTCGTTAGCCTATATCTTCCAACCATGTGTACGAGCTACTAAAGGAGATATATAACTGCTCGAACTTCCTCTGTCTATGAGGGCCTGAAGCGATATCCCGTTTACCTTATGCTGTTCACCTTGCGGGACAGGCAGTTCGGGGCTGCAGCAGTCAACAGGGAAAATAAGACAATCCGTCGTGCAATTTGAGTAATTTTTTAACAGATTTGGATCCATAGACACGCTTAAAATGGCTTGTTTTGCCACATTATTTACAAACAACTTCTATTCTGGAGCATTAAGATCGTGGGTGCCTGAACCGACCGCAAAAATAACACCTGAGAATTGATTGACAAGAGATAAAATGTGGAATCAGGGGAGATTGTGTGTGACGGGGTAACCGTTGATGTCTGTAAGGGTGTTGCAGTCGCAGAAAATGATATCGATTGGTTATGTGAGTATGACTGAACTTGTTCGTGGTCCAGTTGTAATAACCTTGCCGATTCATCTGCTTCATCCAGAGTGAGTTCATATTGAGCCAGAAGTCTTTCTCTGATGGTGGCATACCGAAGTCCGTAGATCAGAGCACCGCGTACACTTTCATTTTGATGGTCGATGGCGAATACTGCTTTGAAATAATAATTTTGGCCAAGGATTTAAGCCTTTGAACAATCTGATCAACACATTGTCGAAGGTGATGAGCACGGACTTTTCAAGTGTACTGACAGCGGATTCATAATCAGAACAGTCAGCGATGTGAACTTATACAGATACATCCGCGAGATGAATCGAGGTTTCGAGTTTTTTTAGATGAGGCGATTCAACACTGTCCAGAAAGGTTTGTAAGTTTCTGAACCAATTATTCCAACGCGTTGTGGCCTCTGGAGAATTTGAGTCCATGTCAAAACACTTGTGTCGCAGAAGCGATTCCATGGTATTTTCAAACAAATAAACTGTTACATGGAATATAAATCCTGATTGAGTGCGAAAACAAGAATGAATAGCGCTTTACTTGTTTAAGAATGGACGTACATAAGCTGAAAGTAAAGGTGAAAACATGGTTAATATGAAGCGACATTGGGAACACAAAGGATACGCATGACAAATATACTACGTGGATATCTCCTACCTTTGGGGGATGAGATGGTTCAGTGCTTAGCGCGCGAATTTATTGATCGGAAGGTCCGCGGTTCGAACCCGGCATATGCATCTCGACTTCTGCAGTAATGTTCCCGCGTATCGGTCCCTCTGTATGTAGCAAGTATAGCAACCCGGTGGAAAGCTCCCACATTGACCTTGTAGTTGGGCTTGTGTGCTGCAAAAGGGGTGCAACCTAATGTATCGTCCCACCGGCGAGAGTGTTGAAATTATGTCAAGTTCTGGGGTTTCCGGGAATTCTTGCTCAATTTAAACGTGTTGACCCAAAAGTGAGAACATAATGGAGGCCGCCTCAGAGCGTTCGCACAACACTGGTCTTCAAATCCTTTTTTAGTCGCTTAGCTGTAACGCACTTCCGGTGCCTAGCTGCTATGCTACCCAGAGGGAGCACGAGGGCTGGGATACTGCCGGGTTGCCCAAGCCTAGACAGAAGTCAAGAGGCACAGGTCGGGTTCGAACCACGAACCTTCCGGTCAGTAAATTCCCGCTCTAGCCACTGAGCCATCCCGCGCCATATTGACTGAGCCGTTCCGCGATGTGCATTCACGCCAGAAAGGTCAAAGGGGAGAAGTCAGACAGCAGCGAAGCAGCGTCAAACGAGTAATTGTAATTCGAGGTGGCCTGGCGAGCTATTCTTCGCAACTGACCAGCGCGTTTATATTTATGGAGGCCTTGATGCTTTATTTTCCAGGACGTTACAAACGGTTAGTCCTAAAAACCGCTCAATGGTAAGCAGTGACCACCGGTGGATTTTCCAACACCACTAAAATACGATTGGAACCTACCAATGACCCCACGCGGCTCGACGCGCGACTGTTTCGCACAGTAGCCTTAGCCTTCATTTCATGCGTGAAAACGTTTTGTCCTTTCCTTAGTGGTAAGTAGTGGGTATTTCCAGGCGGTAACAGTAGTGTCCAGGCCACTTGATTACACAGCAGTCCTGATGTATTTTATGGGGTTAAATTTCTGTGGATTTATACTGACTCAGTTCAACTTAGCTGTCGAACTAAGTTTATTCTAATTTCTTCGATTTGTTGGTGGATGTTTCTCTTACACGAACCACAAGCTCCCTTTTTCTTATCGTCCGCACTGAGATTTGCGTCCCTGGGAGCTCAGTTTGCAAAAGCTTGGTCCGTGAAAGGTAGTTTCATTTTATCGTTCATTTGCCTTTTGTTAGCGTCTCGCGTGGACACAGTTCTTTGCAATCGTGATGAATTGGAGACTCTCTGTCGTGTGGGAAATCAGTATGTACCACGTCAGCCACTGGGGCTCGGAAATTCGGGCAACACATGTTATCTGAATTCCGTCCTACAGTGCTTCCTCGCTACGGGACCGCTTGTGGCCTTCATAAGCACACGACATCAAAACCTCAGTGCATGTATTACTACCACCGGTCAATTCGCGTCGGTAACAACCGGTGTGAGTAAAAATCGCTTTTGTGGCTTGTGTGGCATACTCCGGTTGCTCAAAGAACATAACAATTCATCCCAAGTCCCGAACGGGGTGAATTTCGGCTACTCTGCCTGTCGACATGTCATCCCATCGTACTTTGTTGGGAACGTTCGCGGTGAGTTAACTTCGTTTGTTTCTTACGTTTACTAACATCTTTTCAGTCTGTAGCTGTCATACCACCTGAAGGGATCAAGAGGGCCAAGATACTCCCAGGTTTCTCAAGCCTAGACACGGGGCGTTGAAATACTGAGATAGAGTTTGCACCGCGGACCTTCTAGTCAGTCAGTCCATCCTTAACCATTGAGTTCTCTCTAGCTGTACTTCCAAATGCCTGAATTAAGTCCTTGTAAGTAAAGGACAGGCGGTTCACGTGAATGTACTCATCGCAAATGTAAATAGACATGCCATGAATATCCAGGTGTAGATGTCGTTTAGCATCAGTACGAATTGCTGTTCTCAAAATGTGATGGAGCGTTTTGCCTATCTTGGAAGTTGTATTAGTTCCGATTGTGGTGGGACAGATGAGGTCAGTGTACGAATCTGCAAGGCTCGGGTTGCGTTTTCTAATTTGAGACACCTATGATGTCAAAGTGGTTTGTCCCTGAGTATCAAGGGACGCGTGTATCAAGCTACAGTACGGACTATTTTATGGCTGTGACACTTCGCCTGTTCGAGCATCGGAACTGAGACGTCTTCGGAACGATAGCTCTTGTGGGTTGGTGTCGGCGAATCCGTAACGAGGCAATTAGAGGGCTAGTTTTTGGTTGTGCAATGGGTACTTCCGTTGAAGAATGTGTCGAGCACTAGCAGCCGCGTATACCGAACGGAGTGGTGTTCTCCATACCCAATTCAGAGTGGTGGCCAACCCTTGACCTGACAGAGCGGTGTGAAGGAGATTACAAAACGTTTGAGTGTTGTCAGTGCTACTCGCCTTCCGGAATGAGGCCCGCGTAATCCTTACTGCGCCTGGTTAGAGACACTGCAAGATATGTGTGCCAAGTTGACCAGAAAGCTCATGATCTCCAAAAACTGTTACCCAAACTTTTAAGGCACATTCTTGAAACGTGCCGGTCTAAAAGAAGCACCATTACTGCATGGTCCACTTGGCCCGGCCATTCGTTTTCTCCGTGTTAGTTCTGTTAATCTTATCCTTAGATGGTGTGTGGAGTGATATTTTATACACGACAACATGATGCTTAGTTGGTGGTCGACATTTTCAGGGCTGGCGTTAGGACTGCTCAGCAGAACGACTTTCGGAAGAAAACTAATCAAAGTATTGTAATTTCTGTCACCTCACAGAAGTGAAGTGAGCAGCAAGGTATGCTGCCAACTATCTCAGCTCTGTTACAACACCCCCAAGGTTCTTTGAAGCAAAAGGACTAAATATTAACGAGTTGAAGTGGTTCAAAGCCATTTACGTCCAACTCCATTGGTTAAGAATTTTCGTATCTTGAACAGAAATACACCAGTCTCCACCAGCGAAGGTTTCGGAAATTAAAAATGTTCTGTTAGCACTCACAGTATGGAAGTTACCTTGTATGTTTTCAAATGTAATTTCATCTTGTAAATCGAACCAGTCTACGCTGAAGTAATATACAGCTGTTTCATCCTTATCTGAAATTAGTAATATGCATCTAAAAACTCAAGAATTTCATACCCTCCACCTCAGAAACGAGCCAGTGATTAGCAGGATGTAGTGCTACACATTGCTCGATCATAAAAACTACATCACCTGGTCACGTACTGACTGGCTACTCAGCTGACGACGACTCAGAAGGAAGTTCCATTCTTATGAAATTGTTCTTGCTGTGGGCTACTTGTTGATCGATGGTAGTATGAGTAGATTTTCTAATTTTCATTTGACAGCGATAACTGGTTCATGCTTTCTCTGATCATAGGCTATATCGGTTGCCTGAATGTGTAATTAAGATATTTTTGGTTGTCTAGGTAGACCCAACTTGCAACCTGCGTTACGTGGAAACAAATTCTGTTTCGAGGGATGGTAGTTTGTTAATTTAGGGAGAAACACCTACCCCATTTTCAGCTTCGGCCTGATGACCACATATTTGCAGTCACATTTTTCTTTTCATGTGGGTTAATTCACCTGCTTCTAGAAGGTCCTAATGGCATGGTGGCAAATGCGCTTGTCGTGCATACCAAATGGTCGAGATCGGAATCCCGTTACGGTCGATGTTATACGTTACCGATGACCCTTAAAGTCTCCTTGAGCCTCTGACGGAACAGCTAATGAGTCTGCCGCAATGGTGCTGAGATCAAGAGTCCAGAAGCATTTCTAGACTAAACCCACTCAGTCCGGCTTGCAGGATCCGCGCATTTGTCGGCCAGTTTTGGTTTGTGTGCTTTATCCACCTAGCTGGGCCAACTTGAATCTCGTAGAACACTGTACCGCACCGGCGAAGGATGTTTCATGGGATTTACTTTGGGTTTCTGTCGCTGTAGTCGCGGAACAACACTTTCTGGCCTTCGTTGAAGGAGCGCGTCGTTCCACCACGATGCCGGTTGAAGTGGTTCTCCATTCTCATACTGCGGTGACTCAGTTGTGTCATGCGTTGTTCGGTGCTTGTTTCAGAGCAGTGCCTCTTCTAGTAGCACATAATCAAGAAAGTTGGAGTTGGCGTCGCTCGATATGCCGTCAGGAAATTTAGAGAAATCTCTTCCGTCTCTTCCTCCTCTCTGCTTCGGAATGTCAACGAAGCGTTCTGACTGGCTGTTCGACTATGGATGAAACGGCGGTGAGCGGACATTAGTTATACCACACTCTCGACGAAACTCTGCGAACACTGATGATGTGAACTGACAACCTTTGTTTGACACAATAGTCTCTGGCGTTCCAAAGCGGCTGAACGATCGTCTGAATTCCAGGACTGTAATGGTAGATGTGGTGTGTTTCATTTGAAGAATTTCCGGCCAATTTATGTGAGCGTTGACCATGACCAAAAAGTATTGGCCATCCTCCAGATCTGCGTAATCGATGTGAAGACGTGACCAAGGTTCGGTCGGCTTCGACCACGACCGTAGGGTGACATGTATGGTTCGCCAAACCACAGGCATGATTTGGAGACTTGCTCAGTCTGGGAGTCCAGAGACCAGTAGAAGTGACTCCGAGCAAAGACCATCCTATTTGTACCCGGGTGCCATGTATAAAACTGATTCAGAATGATTGGTTACTACTCCATTGGCATGAGAGCGAGTTCTGAAAATAAAAGGCATCCTTTGGCTACTGATAATGCGTCACGTCGGTTGAAGGCCTCAATTCATCTTTCGGGCAGGCACGCGGCCACTGATCATGGTGGTACCTGGTGATCTGCTGTAGCCCAGGGTCTTGGTCGGTAGCCTAGCAGTTTATGTCAACAGTCACTGGGAGAATTCCAATACTACGCGATTCGTCTCCGGTTCGAAGGCAATCGTTGATACTACAATATCGTTTGGTTGTGGCATGCTTGAATCTTGCTCACTCTGAATCTTTTGATCGCATGAGTGAGAGTGAAAACCATAAAGTAAGGAAGACCGCTGTCACAGTTTCCGCGTGTACGTGGCTTCTCAGAGTTAGTGAAATTCGTCTTTAATTTCACAAACGGCTCAATCTGGCAAATGTGACTCGAGTTTTGCTGATACATGCCTGATGGATGTAATATTTCTTGCTATATCCCCTCTGCTTTAACCAAAGGCCAGTCCGAAATGGAGGTTGTCTTATCTGCCAGCTAGCTTCTTATTTGTATTACGGATTGACGGATTGGTTAACTATTTAAGTTTTATTTCACCTGACTTATTACAGGGTTTAGTTTCATTGGAAGCATTTCATTGAGGATAGCGCTCGCTATCGTTTTCGGAATTGTATTCACTGGTACTGCATAGTAATGATACCAGTCGTAGGTTTCCGTTTCATTTTAGGTCACATGTTATGTAGCTTGTATTCAGTCGACCATGTCTGTCACACTGACGTTTTATTTTTTTCGAACAATACGCAACTGCCTAATCATTTTATTTCGCTCACATTCACCTTTGAGGGTCATTCTAGGTACTCATGGCATGCGGAAGCCTGTTTCGACAGGCAGACGCGATGCATATTTGGTTTTATCCGTTCACCCATCTTATCCTAAACCTTTCAGTTAATACTGTCTGGGCCTGTGTGACCTACCGACCGCACTCATCTACCTCTTGTTTAGTGGACGCCATAGCTGATAACTTGGACTTGATTTGATCTTGTGTCAGAATAACTGCAAGAGTGATTGTTCATCAGCACCTTCAACTGATAGATTTACTGGACACAAGGTCGGGATTACCCTTAGTTGAGATCTGTCAGTGGTTTGTCCTTCTCCTCCCCTGTGCCTTCGTAATTGATGTTAGAATAGCAGTAACTCTCTAGACCTAGTCTGAGCGAGCAGAGTGCAAACTCTCCGTATTTCGGCAAAGTCTTTCGCAATCTAGACAGCGAACTTGTGTGAAAGTCTTTTGCTCTGATTCCACAAAGCTACCGTAGTCATGTGAGACATCAATAACATAAGTTGTGTTGGTCTCCCAACGCTGCTATTGTGGCCGCGACTAATAGGGTGTGGTTGCTGTGATTTCCTTGGTGCACAAAAGGTCCATCCACTTTATGTCCGGATTTAGTCATAATGAGTGGCTCGAAAGGACTCGCTATTATTTATATTCACGGTTCGGTTTTGCGTCCGATCTTGTTTGTTGGTTTTGGCTATAGTGAACACTGCGTTAGTGTTACCAAAGTGCCAAAAAGGCACATATCACCTAATCGTGCTTATTTGTAGATATTCACAATTACGACGGTCTCAAAGTCCCTTTGACACGATAATTGAGTCCTCCAAATGTTATGTATCATTTCTCTGAAATGTCGTTTAGCATGACCCATCATTGTTTTACTGCCAAGCTGACTGGTACTACTAAAATTAACGTTTCACATAATGGGGAATTCGAGCTGTGAATCGTCGGCCTGTTGTACGGTGCGATAGATTTCTACTACACAAATACCAAGTCAGTGTTTCGTTCTAACATCTCATTAGGGAGGAAATTTCCGCCAATGTAACAACAGAGTCTACCTCTGAATCATCAGTAAAGCGAGATGCGCTTGAAAAATCAGTTTTTCTGATCTATGCTACTAGAACCCGACCACTGAACAAAGTTAGCCTTTTGTTTCGGTTGGCGAAAATAGTTGTCCGATACATGTGTTCTCTTTTCCGTCCACCATGTTTTACTGAGATCTTAACATTGTAGTGTTTCATTCGATTTCCACTTTTGTCCAACGTTTGGTGCGCAGAAAGCTGTCGTATTTGAACGAACTGTATTGGCAAAACGTAACGGCAATAACGAGAGAATGAAAGCATACAAAATACAATAGTACGATACAATACAACAACTTGAGGTTCCGCTTGCATTGGCCACTTGTCTCAGTGTGCGATTTGTTCACTGTCTATAGTAGTTCGCTACTTGCGAAGGGCATAAATCAAGTATAGAAGAGTCAGTCTACGTACATCGTGTTCAAAGTTCTGTACTCTTTCCTCGGTATTCCCTTACATTTACGTTTGCTTCAAGAGCCTTCCGTGTACACCGTTTTGAGTATGTCAGATATAGTGTTGGATTGTCGTTATTTCCAGGAATTGGGCTTGACCGTTGCAATTTCTGGACGGAATACGTTTTCCTCGTTGTACGAGCCCAGGAGATCTCGATCGCTAAGGCGCGAACTGACTGGACTCCGCGATTCGAATCTGGCCTCGGCATCTCGACGACCTCTGTGTAGGCTTAGGTAACCTGGCTGTACCTTAGCCCTTGTGCTCCCTTCAAGTGACATGGTAGTTAGGCACCGAAACGGTGTTACGGCTGGACGAATATTACTTCACGCACTACGCAGAGCCTTTTTCCTTGAACGATCAGTGTGCATTTCTGGAAGTGAATTACAAGACAGTCGTTGCTGCTGGGATAAATTGGCTATTTTGAGAACACATACCTACATGTTGTTGACTTTTCATCAGTACACAATTTGAGTGATCAGTGGCTAAGAACGAATAAACAACAACTTAGCGTGGGATACAATAGAAGTTCACGGATGATTTCTAGTAGCGACTTACTCATGATGGGTTGCAACTGTTCACTTCGCCCTCTTACAAGATTTCTGATAACGTAAAACATGTGCCGTGAATCTTTTTGGATCCATCACCTGCAAACATATGAAGTTATACTACTGCTGGAGACTCTCGGAGCGATCTCCCAAAGCTGGTTCGCTATGGCTCTAACGGTTACTTCTGACTCCACCAGTCATTAGGATAGGATAGGCAAACTGCAATTTTCTGTTAAAAAAATTGCCATTCCGCTTCGGCGACGCGACCTCCGTTTTCGTAGACACCCAGCTGGCTGTCTTGCGATCGGTAAAACATCGACAAGGTATAGATTGCTATTGGTCCGAGTATTTGCCCGACCTTTATTTTCGCGCCTATCCTCACACTTTTTATTCGTTCTGACTGAAATGCTTCCGTATTCATAGTGTTTGTTTATGTCCTAGTTCGCCTCGTAAAACTGCAGTCTGTCGTCGGATTTACCCAGGAACAACAGTGAATTCACGCAATCAAAGTTCATAAATTCGAACCAAGGGTCTAGGTGGCCCGTGTAACAAGTGATGTGATGTGATGTGATGTTGTACACCAATCACCTGTGGAACCCACTAGGTTGTTTCAGATATCAGACCTCAACTAATTCAGTGCGATCAAAAGATAACTAGATCTAGAAGTACGGGATATTGGATAGTTGGTGTTCATGTCTCGCCCTCATGTAGGATTGGGTTGTTATTTTGAGGATGCTACAGCGTAGCCCATCACGTTCAGATTGGTTCTGTTCGTGATTTACTCCCTAGGTAGGACGCACATTTTAGCCAATAAGTTAATACTCACTTGCCAAGTTACTTCTTTTCGTCTGACTATGCTTATATACTTTTCATAATCTTTTTAGCGATTTGTCCCAACTTACGTCCATATCAACAAGAGGATGCGCATGAATTCCTTCTTGGGCTTCTGTCGCGTATGGAGGACAATACAATGGCCGGGTTTGGAAAGGTTTCTCGAGCCGTCGCTGAAACCAATGTGATTCGGCGGATATTTGGGGGAGTCGTTCGTTCCGAGGGTAGGTTTTCGTGCTTTCAGCCAGATTCCTGTTTACCAAGTCTTATTCGATCGTTATAAGCTGGGTTTGTCTGGCGTTCACATATGCTTTCTGTCCAAAACGATCATCCAGAACCCAAGTAATGTACTCTCATGTCACTTTCAACGTAGTCATTCACTACCGAGGGATCAGAGACTGCAGCCTGACAAGATCTACTGGGATCGATATTTGACTTCATGCTCACCAGGCGTCCAACTGTGATTCTTTGGGAACTGCTGAGAAAAACTCGATAACGTAAGATCTACCGCTGTCTATTTGGTTAGATGGTATCTTGTTGCAAGCTGCAGTACCCACACCAATCGATTTCTGATAGTATGTGAACGCAGTTAGCCTGAGTGATGGTTGCTGGTTAAATTGGGCAGCCATCTGGAACACTTGATAACGTTAATAATAAGCTTTCCCAGATGACAATACTAACAATAACAGTAAATAATAGTAATGCATAATAGCAATAATGGCAAAATAATAACAAATAAGCACCTGCTTCACCGATTTTCAGATGAGTCAAAGTTGTTTGGTCATCTAGTGTCTCGCAACAAACTAGGCTCATATCTAAGTAGACCATACTGGAACATATGTGAGCGCTCTGATCGCCCGTTGGTGTTTTTGCACCTTCCAGATCTAATCAAATCTTTGGCGTCTCTCTTAAAGACTACAGTGTTCAGAGCCAAAAATCGAACATGTATCGGGGATTTATTTCTGGGAACGGCCTGAATTTCGGTTACTAGCCCTAATTAGAATGCGTTTCCACAGCCAAATGCGATTCGGGGATATCCGTCTCTAATACGGGCTTATCGGTCTTATTCATTCCTTGAATATCTGACAAATCAGCAACCTGGAATCCTGGAGAATAGAGGGTGGGTGTAGGCGTGGGTGGTTCGTTAGGCAATATTTGTAACACTCGCAACTTTCAGTGTCCCCTCATCCACTTATTCAATCGTTCTCGCTTTTTTCTTGTACAAAAAGTCTGTCCACCTGATATTTTTTCTAACTACAATATGTGCACATCATATTCCAGTCACGTGCCACAGTTGTCGAAAGGTATCCGCTCGCGACGAACAGTGTTTCAATCTCTCCATGGATATCACAAACGGACGTAGTTTGCAGGTACGTTAATTCATTTACACTTAGGTTACTCTGTAAACTTCCTAGTGGAAACGGAGTCTGACCTGTAGTTTTTTAGTCGATTAAAGTATAGTAGTGGTTTTGACGACTGAACTGCTACTGTTTTATACTCATCTGAGAAAGCCTAGGCCAAAAATATCACAGGTCTTGGGGGATCAACGTATTCCTTTTCTGGATCCAGCTATTACTTGAAGTGTTTAGCTTCTTCACCTTACTGAACCCGTGACTTGGCGTGCCAACTCAATCTTCGTTATCCTGCTTATCACCGCTTACCGTGTCAACGTTGACGTCTAAATTCGGCATTCTTGCATAATCGGCACAACTACAAAAGTACTTAATGTGTGTTACGATCCCGTGCCTCAGTGTTCAAGCGACGATTGTTGCTTCTGCTGTTACTTATGGATCGTGTTAACGTTTCTCTAATACGTAGCACCAGTATATTCCGAAATGGCTGGCGAATGAATATTTCGATAGTAGACGGGACATGCTCGTATCTATGCCTCTAGCTGTTGGTTTAGAGATGGAATAAGACACCGGACGAGAGCACTATGGACTTCACGCCCAGTGTCTGCTAACTGTTTGATCACGGAGTTCTACGGTCATCTTCCGTTTGAACCCCATGCCATGGAGAATACTCTGTCGCTTTCCCCGTACGTGGCTCTGTAAAACCTGTCCAGCTGTGGATGACACTTGATCCGGATAGGGGATGACAGAATGACTTTCTCTAGCTTTCAGTGCATTAAAAACTATGTCCGTCCATTTATGTTTTCGGAGCACTACTCCAGTTGGATCATGACTGCTGCTTCTTTGCAGAAATTATTCTACACAGTGGGTTGATGTGTAGCCTGGTGTGCCTTGTTTGCCAGTAGGCCGACTTCGTAAAGGACCTGCCCTACCATATGCAGAATGAAAACTGTCTTGGGAAGGTGAGGTCATGACCTAGCAGCGTTGAACAAACGCCATTGCCAGCCGCATTGATAGTTACCGTCTCCCTGGACGGGAACTTTGAAGCGATAGCATTACTAATTGTATGCAAAGACAGACTTTACTCAATCTTGCGCTTTTATGCATGCAGACTATTGCACCATTTTCCATACCGTAGCTAATCGTTATCATTGGGTAACAATGGTGATGATCGGCGAAATCCGGTTGAAGAATGTACCTCTACGAATCCGTCACTACATCTGCTTCACTTCACCAACGCAACCACTTCAAAATTGCAGTACTACATTAGGTCCATTTTCACACCAATTTTACTAAATATTGATTTCGCCCTAGTAGTACTACCCATCCGAACAGGAGCACTTGTGTGACTTCAACGACGGTGCTCTGAAGTTTGTAACTTGATTATAAGCAAGTTGGTTCATGCACTCTCCCGTTGAGGGGAAGGTTTACATCTCAGGACTAATGGTAAATATCTTAGGTATCCGTCTTTGAATGTCGCCTCTGGCTATTTACGTGCGTTTCAAGTATTCGGTTTATTAATTGTTCTATTTCCCCCCAGGACCGTGATTAGCTGGGTGAGTAAACTCATTGTTCATCATAGTCAGATTGGTCCGGCTCACCAACAGCTAGTTAGAACGAAGTGAACATTTCTGACGAAACCAACTGCGTACCTTTCCAACTTACTGAGATGCGTGGTACGACCATTTAGTTTTCAATGCCTCTGCCGCTCACCCAAATGCCGCATTATGCCATTTTTCGGCAACAGCTGCACACTTTTACCAAACAATTTTGTTTTGTTCATCTCTACTCCAGCAATGCTTATTTAACTACATTCGCCATGAGGAGTTGTGCGGCCAAAACGCCTACAAATGTGAGAATTGTCGACAGCTGCGTGCTGCAGTGCGACGGTCCACCATTTTTCAAGGTGCGCCGATTTTAATTATTCAGTTCAATAGGTGAGTCTCACTGCATATAACCAGAAAACTGAGCTCTGTCGCGCACTCTAGCGCAATTGGATGTCGGGTTTTTATGATCTTTCCTCAAAATACTGACTCCTGTGCGTGGGTATAAAGGACTTTGTTGGCTGTTAGTTCCATATTCGGTTTTTGAAAGTAAGAAATCCCATGGCCCTGTGTTAGGTAAAACTGATAAACTACTGGTGTCTGTCTGCAAAGTTGCTCAGGTATTGCCCTAACCCGTGTGTGCACAGTCCATTGTCTACATATATTAGAGGTCTCCCTTAGGTTGTCCAAAACTGGCTCCGAATATCCGGTTGATTGATCTGTATATGCTCAGCTAATTAGGTGGGAAGTAGTACCGTGTGTTGAACCCAACTGACGTGATTGATTCGTTGTAATCTGCTAACACTGATTTACCCAATTTATTGGTTCCCATCTATCAGATTCTCTAGAAACCACAAACTGGACCATCGTGTCGAATTCCCTTCGTCTTTCAACCTACGACCATTTATGACCGATAACAAAGGACCTCCTGTACTCTATCGGTTGTATGCCACCGTTAACCACGAAGGCCATAGTTGTCGAAGTGGCCATTATGTGGCCTTTACGCGGCGCAATGGAACATGGTATTCACACAATGACAGCTTTGTAAGTTTCAACAGAGTGTATGTGCATGCGCATTGTGTCAATGCCCTTGATTGACAACTAGCTTCTGTCCAGTTTGTGGATCCTGCCTCTGTAACAACTGTTTTACGGATTACAGTGGTCCAATAGGACTTTTGGTAGAAAGCGGTAGAGGACCGACTCGCACTCGTTTGAACGTGCCTGTGGCATGACTAATAAGCATAGATAAGCCGGGTTGGATTTTGGTGTAGTAGTTACGAATTAGCTACGAAAACCGTTATATCAATGCCATTGTAAAGTTGTTTGTTGCTTCATCCAAGGGATAGAGAGACTTTGTAAACTGCTGAATTGTTGAATCGGTTGATCGGGTTGTGGTTAAGCCGCTGCCTGTCACATCCGTGTGACCATTATTTCGGCAATACGTGATTCGATCATGACCTGTGGTTAAATAGATGAGCGAAGTGATATCGCACCTGCTTGCCGATTAGTCTGATTGGGCTGTTGATCATACATGGATTTAGTCCGACTTACTCACTTATCCGTGCCTACTCAGTCGTTGACCAAATCTATGTGATGTTTCCAAGTTGGCCCACGACGCAAATTCGCGTTGTTATCTCTTGTCGTAGCGATACATTCATTTAACTGGACACTAGTTCTTATTTAGCTCCATTTGATCAGTGGTATCCACTTCGTTTACGGATGTTCATTCCTTTTCAGGTAAACTCCACCAATCCGGAGCATGTGCTCCGTCAGGCACCTTACTTACTCTTTTATGAGGCTGTAAGTCATGCTGTTTTTTCTGACGCTGCTACCTTAAGTTTACCAGCTGTGACCTCAGTTAATTTTAGCTGTCTAATTCACAGGTGAATCCGACTCCTGCGCATCGTCCCCAGCAAGCACAGAGTGAAGTTCCTTTGCTTACGACAACGGTAAAACCCGATAATGCACCGGTTACAATCCCCGTCGATCAAATTCCCTTGCCTACTTCAAACCCGCCCGACTTATCTTCCACAACCCTCACTGTCCACCGTCCAACTGCTGTTCCGACGACCTCTCCCAAGAACCCAGTACAGCCCATTTCTTCCACACCCCGTATAGTGTTCAATCCAAATCTCGTGCGCATTCGGAATGCCGGTAAGTGCAATCAGGGACCATCTTTCCTCAATTTTTGTGGCATCAGTGAATGGTTCAACTGATACCACCTCCTTTCATCATCACAGTGGATTTTGAAGCCCATTGAAGAAACTGATTACCTTATTCGGGGACGCCTACCACATTTTGAATTCAACAGAATCTCCAAAGTACTTGAGCGCATCTCCCTATAGTACAATTCTTCGTATGGTAGAAGGTTGCCTATTTATTGTCGACCACCCATAATGATCTTTTACGGACCATCCCAGACGTTAAATGGAAGTCCAGTGGACCGACGAAATTGCGTATTCTTAAAAGTGACCTGTATTGGCAGAAGGTGCTTTCCTCCATCTCATGAACAAGACAGCGAACAATCCAGCGAGTTAATGAACATAGTGGTTTCATGGAAGATCAAAGTACAATATGCTGGCCATTGGTACGGAAAACTTGCAACTGACGCGATATTTTTCCGTTTTCCTACGGTAAAGCTTTGCTTGTGAAAATCAAGCAACTGGAATTTAGGCCTTATTTGATCCCACAATCCGATGAGTCCCCAGAGCTGTCTCAAGCAGGGCTTTCAATTGCTAGTGGCTTCACTGAGTTTCCCCAAAGCACAGAATTGAAACGCGTGATAGCCGTGTTGTTATCCAAGACTATGAGGCCTTGAAGTCTGCTCTTTGGGTTGCTAACCCGGAGTTCAAAGTTCATGTTTCCGATATTTCAAACGCAGAAATATACTTGGTGCTGCAACGGGATCCAGTAGAACGATTCCCTTTGATACCCTTTGGACAGAACACGGGTGAAAACGCTTCGCGAATGCTGTGGATGATCTTAACGTGACTAAAACTCTAGGGTCTGTGGTGGGTTTTACTTGGTGAAACTGAACGGAGGCGACTCCTGTATTTGGCCAAGTTCGAGCTGGCTCTGTGGTTAAGGTGCGCACTTACTAATCTAAATGTCCGTGGTTCGAACTGGTCCATTGAATCTCGACTGCTACTCTGTAGTCTTGGGTAGCCGGGAAGTATATCAGCGCTCGTGCTTCCTTCGGGTTACATGGCAGCTAGGCACCGAAAGTGTGCTACAGCTGAACCTGTATATAACTTAACAGCCTTGACTGAGTAGTTTTCATGCAGCACCCAGTTGCGCCGTAACTAATACCTATTCCTCTAAGACGCTGTCGGTAGAATCGTGTTTGACTGACTTCACGCCATGCGAATGTTTAGAGTACTGCCGTAGTAGTGGGCTGGACCAAACCCGAACCTTATGCTAGCTACTGAGGTATTAGACAAATTCGTTTACCTGGTTAGCTGTATCAGTCCCGATGCTCTACTTGAAGACGGTATATCCATCCGGATCGAGGTCGGAGCAGCCTTTATCAACCTGCATTATTGGTGGCGTAAGCTTGACGCCAGTTTATCTCTCTAAGATCAAGTTCAAAAAGTTGCGGTGCGCCTTACATTGCTGTTGTTGCTGCTTCTGTTGGAGTCAGCTGCTTGTCCGCTACACAGAGGGGATGTTGAAAACGTTCAACTTTTGACCGTTAGTATACTCGGAGTAATTCCCGAGTCTGGTAGGCTTAGTAATGCTGAACTACGTGGAAATACACCTATGGACTACGATAGATGAACTGATCGCGCTCCATCAGCTGAGCTGGGTTGATCGTACTTCGCAGGCCAGTCGCCCAGCTTTATCGGGCAGCTCTTTTCACACAACCACTTGGAGGGTGGAAGCGAGCCAGTGGAGGTCAAGCAACGAATTAGCGTCGAAGTAGGGAACTATTACCAATGAACTCAGCTGCGCTAGTCATTACCGTCTGGGGATGGGGATGGACGTATTAGTGGTTAAACATATTGACGCACATGCATCTATTAGTGCACAGGTCAGGTAGCCATAATATAATTCTGAAGGTATGTGCACTCATAACAGTTTTACTGTGGTTGACAGTTATGATTTGCAACACGCATAAAAATGAATACAATGCAAGTTAAAAGGGGAACTTATCGTTTGTGACAGTCCCTTGGTGAAAGTGTTTGGCTTCGAGGACGTTTTTTCTTCGCAGTATAGCTGATGCACGTGTTCCGTAGTTGTCCGTGGGCTTTTAGAGTTTGGTTGACTTCCTGCTTTCTGCGCGCGCGCGACTCTGTGTGTTGACTGTGTTCGGTTTTCCTAGGCGCTCGGTATTCGCACAATGGAATTGAATTTTCGAAGGCTACGACGTTCCTCTGGTGGACTAGAGGAGACAAGCAACTGAGTTCAAAGCAAGAGTCAATTTTTGAGCTCCATCTAGGCACTCAGGCGTGCTAAGAAAGTATTTCACCAAACGTTTTCCACCAGAGTTATGATTCCTTCAGCGGACAATAAAATTTGGCGAACTGCAAAAATGTGAACGTAGATTAGGATAGTTTTTTGTTTGAGCACATGCGCAACAAAATGCAATATTTTGGCGTAAAAAGTTTCATTCCACCCGCAAAGGTTTTGCAGCTAAGAGCATTGTGCGGCCAATGGGCTCCGTCTTCCTATGTGTAGGTACGTTTGCATGTACGTGGGTGTGTCAGCACATGATTTGCTGCTACGCTTACTAGACGGTACACATAGTCAGTGCCAGATGAGTCACCTTTGTGTGAGGTGGTTTGTGAGTGTAGAAATAAGGGTGAGTCCCGTGATCTAGTGAGCGACTGTTAGTCACACACATCCCGGATGTTGCCTTCAATCCATCGCTTCCTCTCCTTTCTCCTCAGTGAAAAACCCACTCACTCCTGATTCATGCATCAATGACATCAGTCATTACCTCCAGTGTCTAGTTATCCACCAATATCTTTCCGGATCATGGGTGAACGAAAATGTGACAGCTATGATCACGGTACAAAACGTACGCGGTTTACAGCTGAAGATGATAATTTTTATACGAATACCAATAAGAGGGAACTATTGGTGCATAGCTGAGGATGGCCATAATACAACTCAGGAAATACGTGCACTTTTAACTGTCTTTACTGTGGTTGACAGTAGTTTACAGAAACGATCTGCAGCATGTATAAAATAAGGGACAATATAGTGTTGAGCAAGTCAACAGGAAACTTGTCGTATGTGGGAGTCCCTTGGTGAAAGTCCGGACGGTGGGAACGTGTTTTTCTCCGACTGCTGCACGTGTTCCATAATTGTCCGTGGACTTGTGGAGAGGTTGACTTCCTGCTCCCTGCGCGCGCGCGAGTCTGTGTGTGCTGACTGTGTTCGGTTTCCCTATATGTATGTCCGCTTGCGCGTACGTGGGCGCGTCAGCACATGAGTTGTTGCTACACTCACTAGGCGTTGCAGACAATCGATGCCCGATGAGTCACCTTGATGTGACGTGGTTTCCGAGTGTGAAAAAAGACAAGTCTCGTGATCCAGTGAGTGACTATGAGCTGAACAGTCAAATGTGTGGTGGCTACAGAACCACCTTCAGGTTTGACCCTGAGGGCTTTACCGACTCAAATCGCGTCTGCAGACTAATGAAGCTGAGGGCGCCGTATCGAGTACGGTGTGCTTTTTGTTTCGTTTGGTGACATCAATAATCAGGTGATCCCCGAAGTTTCTTACGTTGTTCCGTACTAAAAGTTCACCAGTTAGCGGGTGACAGTTACGGGTCAGAATTATCATTGGTTTAGAGCTAGCTCATTGACTGTCGTTATATCAGTGGTCGATACCTTGAACTAACTAAATACTTTTGACGCATGTCGTTCGCATGATACAAGTAGAAGAAGGCCGATAAAGTTCTGAAGTGACTAACTAGTGAACTAGAATGTCGTGAATGGTGTGTTGAGTTTCTGAGACTGATTCACAGTCAATAGACCAAATTTTCTTTAGAGCGGATTTTCCACCCTTGATGACGATTTTTGTCGATTTCACATGTAGTTTAAATGATGATCACCGTCACTCGTGCATGGTTCGGATGGAAATACTATTTTTAGGGCCATTAGCTTCAAAAAAGTCCAGTGTTTTCTAGACTCAATATTAGTCTGTTTGGGGTCAGTGGAATTGTCCTGGCGAAGGCCTAGTAGGCGTGTATAGTCCAGACTCTTGAAATCCTTAGAAAATACAGGAATGTGGAATGTTGGAGATAACATTTGAACGTACAATCGCCCAAACCTGCTAACTTTCTCATAGCAGCTAGATTTGGTGAACTTTTTGGCACTCTCGGACTTTTGTGAGACCTAGTATAACCTGATAGGCCGGTCGATGCACAGTTGTATATTCTTGTTTGCTGCCCGGTCGATTGAGTAGACACCTGGTTTACACTTTATTCAGTATTAAAAGGTCGCTCAAAGGAGTGAACAGGTGCCCATCTACCTTTTCTACTGCTGCATCAGGGGTTTCTCTCCATAGGGTGAATACTTCTAAGGGACAGTCGACTTCGTTCAATTCATTATTGAGCGAGGTCATTTTGTGTGCTACGAAGTGAATGGTTCTGTTTTACGTATTTTAATTAGTATCTGCTTCATTTCTGTCGCATGTGTGTGCCAGTCAGCACACACCAAAATTGGTGTCTGGTGGTCGTGGGAAGTTGTTTGTGGCGAAATTCGGCTGTGGCAGAACTAGCTCCTGTTTTGAACCACTCAATAAGTTATTTGTAACCGTGTTCCTTAAAATATTCTTTTCACCAAAACTCAAAGCTAGCTCATCTCATTCGTCGTGCATTGTTCGTAAATTTTTCAACAGGGAGAGTCTTTGTTGGGTGTACATGCCCCGGTTATACAGTCATACGGAATAACGGAGGCTCTCGTCAAAGATACATTGCGGTCCAATGTACATCAAACGGGATAGATTAGCTTTGGGTTCCGGTGGAAACTGAGTGTTTTATTGACCATTGCGTCGTTGTGCCGAACATGGTTACAGTTACTTGTTACGCAACTCATTTCAGAATACACGTGTGAGTAGCTCAGCTTTCGGTTTATGAGCGCCATGCCATTTGCACGGAACACGAGATCCCGGAGGCTCTCCGGTCGACTAGGCCATCATTAACTAAGGGATAAGCTTGAACCACATAATCTCATACTGAGTTCTTTTTTACCCTCGTGCTGTGTAAACTCTCGTCCACCATGAAATCAATAGTTTTTTTCATGCATCCCTAGCTCTCCAGCCTTCTCCAAGTGGGTCTTCCGCCTCCCAGGTCCCTATCAACGGATCGTTCTCCAAGTCGGCACCTCAACCATCGCTTCCCTCCCCCAACAAACCTTCTGTTCGACAGGTGAGATTCATTCAGTCTTTCGGGGCCCATGGTAGAATGTACCATCCTGCTTACATTGCATTTTTATGTTGATTTCTCACGTTAATGTGCTTGTCCCGTGAACAAGAAGAAATTTTCACTCCTAGGCCACCACCAAACTTCTTGCATTGCGAGCTTCATAAATCTTGTTTTAATTTAGGAATCTTCATTTACATAATTGAAAGGTTCAAGCAAATTTGGTAAAATACGGCCACTGATATCCCGGTTCGCTTGGTTCTATCCTCTTTGACTTTACAAGGTGGACTGGGACTGTGGGGTTATTTAGACGATATCAACATCTGCCTCCTTGTAGAAGCCATCTAAGGAACTTACTACGACGTTTTTTGGTATACGTTCACCAGGTTCAACTGCTGTCGTTTTTCATGTGCATGTGTATTCATTTGATGAACGGTATGAGCGATATATTAAACTGAGTTCTCAGGTAATAGTAACTTAATTCACAAATGAGACTACTTCGCCATTTGACCTCAGCCTGCTTCATTTGTCTCTTGTCGTTGAAGCTTTTGTACGGCTCAAACGAATCCACTGAACTCTGGACGGAGCGACCTACCCCGGTTTCGCATCTTAGTTCGACTAACTACTCCTCTCCGAGTTCCGTAAAACACGACGATTCGAGTACTACAATGTTCCATAGTTGCCTTTCCGGCAAACGAAAGCATTCACCCGACATATCGTCAGAACGGGAATCGAGTTCTCTCCAACGGGGTGAATCCATACTGACGGATACTCACTACTTTTCTGCCAATGCGGTTAGTTCAGTATACTTATGTCATTGCTTACACCTGCTGTCAAATTTATTCGGTTAAGTGCCGTTTGGTGATTCGTCCATACTTTTTTCGAGAACATTAATGCCCAAGCTTTTAGTTTGATTCCTTCACTTCATACCACCCTTCCAAGCTATTCTGAAGTCTTCGTTGTGCTTATTATGTCGTTTATGTTCGATCGCATCCGTCTTCCGGCGTGTTCAGGTCTGGAAGCTGGCTTCATAGATGAGAAGTTCCCAGAAAGATTTACGTGGCTTCTCCTTCAAAAGAGAACCTAACTTCTACTAAAAGGTGACCATCATTATCAGTCTATCAGGTCGTGGCAGACGGAAAACGTTGTTGTAGACCCTCGAAAGAAGTAGTTTCTTTGACATGGTTTACTGTATGAAATTCCGTGTGATACTGTATCCTACGTCCTATAGTCGTATGGTTGCGGGACTCACTACCACTGGAAACCCGTACACTTAGTTAGCACGTAAACCTACTTTCAAGTAGATAGTACCCGCTCGGGAATCCAATATAACCTCAGTGCACAAATCTCCCAACGTATTCTCACATCAATCGTGTGCGACCAGAATACTCTACTTGTTATTTAATTGAACGCCCCCGTGAGTATACTTATCTTAACAATAGGTATTTTAACCAACTTGTATCGATATTTTACTTGATAACGTTCTATGGAAAAAGTGTCATATGAGCACATACTACTGTTTCCTTCATAGACCATGAGCCATAATCTCGTTTACTTTGTGTGCTATTTTTCTACGTTGGGTATCAACAACGGTAAAAATTTCAATGTGGCTTGTTGGCGCTACCTTGCTCAAATTACGGATCTGTTGTTTGAGTCGTTCTCTACTTAGGTATTCTCAAATCGCTTGTAGGTGGTTGTATGTTGTGGATTATCACGTCAGGCGCTTTTCCTAGATTCCCAGTGCATCTTTTATGTTTGTTTACCTTTCATTGTGCCTTCAGGCCAGTTCCCGATCACTGTCATCCAATTCGTCACCGACGAATCTTGGAAAAAGAGCACGGACATCCGCTGGAAGTAGCGATTCGGATTCCAGCATTGTTTGGGTCCCTGTTACACACAAAGATTTCTCTCGGAAGGCAGACAATCACACTGTGAACAGCTCTGAACATCTGGGAAAACGTAAATCACAAAAATCCGATAAGGGACACAATGGTTCCAACGAATGGCGACACAAGGATGGGCGTCGTCATCACAGCCACCACCGTCATCGTCGCAGAAAGCACCGCGATTACCAGGACACCGGGGCCCCTCGTGTTCGTGGTCACGACAGATTCCACAAACGAAATTGGCATCACCCCAGTTTTCATCGAATGTGATCGCTTCATCGATGCTTGTCGTACAAAATCGGTCGTCTTCAACTTTTGCTTGTGATTACGGTACCACATCTATACATCATTGTTGCACCTAGGTACCAATTAGAATGTACATAAAATTTCCCATTGTGTGAACTCTTCCCGGTTGCATGCTAACCTAGTAATGTTTACACATTTTTGTACTCAAGGGGGCGCGATAAATACCCCGTTATTTCTTCACCTGTTCATTGGTCAGTTTTATGTTTGTCTCTCGTCAGTTACTGAACTATAAAACGCGGTCTGAAGTGAATGCCTGAGTTTTCTGGGTTTCTACGGAAGGGAGACGGTATATATTCAGAACTAGTTTATTGTGCTTGGTAACATGAATTCTTCTCACTTACCATGCCCGTGGTCAACGCTCTGCAAAGGGCATTTACGTCATGCATGTGGTTTGGGCCGATCCTCCGAGAGAATATAGGGAACTAGAAAGTCAGTGAATGGGCAAATGACGTGGAAGGATAGGGCTTCGATGTTTGTGCTCCCATCCGTCGATCTCATATGAGCGAAATTTATCTCTGGTGGGAAAGGAAGCAAACGCTCCATAACGACACTAGTCACAAGGTTGCCGAAGAAGAGTTTCCAGCAACCTTGTGAGTAATTTCCTTCGCACTTCCGTTGTTCAAGTTAGGTTTGCAGCTAAGTTTCTCTGACGTATATCATGTTCTGTTAAAGATCTAAGAACATATAGAAAAATACAGAAAACCGAGGGCGGATTTTCAGTGATTTAGTTAAAGATTGGGCAATTTCGCCATGACTAATAATGGCGTGGTCTGGTCTAAGAAAGGTATATAACTGCATCAACTTAATGCCCGGCAAGCTTTCGGAGGCATCTGCAAAACTGACAAAATGGACGACCACCAAGCTGGGAAATTAGACGATTGTGACAAAGCCGCGGTTCAAAAACTCAATCCTGTGACTAGCGAAGGGTGCCGTGCAGCAGAATCTTGATGTGTCCATTACCAAGAGGACATTTGATGCTCGATGATTTCTCGTTGACTCTTCGGTTCAGCTTGATATTTTGGTTGATGCTCAACGTGGACTTTTCGCTGGGGTTCAGTCAGGCATAATCTTAGCCTTTGTGGGCGTCCCGATGAGGTACGTGAGCAGACCACTGCACTTCATCAGTTTCTCTTTAGTTGTCTGCGTGAAAGGTTTGGTACGGTACGGAATGAGAGACGTCATCCTGACCATTCAGCTGAGGAGTTGTATAGAACCCCCGATGGGTATGGAAAACCATAAATCAAATTCGCAATTTGATGACTCGTATAGGTCGTACAAATGGCTAAAACTATCATTACTGATTTAGGGCAAGCAAGATCGCGCGTGGGTACAAATCTACTTCAATCTTTATGGCTTTAATAGCATTTCTTACCGGTGGTCTCCATAATCATAGGAATCGTGCTACATAGTAAGTCTGAAATCATGCCTACCACTATCACACGTCATTAACGAAACGGGTGAGTAAAAAAAACTTGCCAGTTATGTTGTATTGGTTTCTGGAGTGCACACGCGCTTGTTTTGTAAGTGTCGTTTAGGTACCAGAGCGTGAACAGTTCAAATATCGCCGCAAGGTAATGAAGCCGAATATGCACAACTAATTGTATCCCCGTGATGACCTTTCGATTTCCTAGTTCAGGCATCCACTGTTCCCGAGAAAGTGCGGAATCGATGCAGCCAATTTTCGGTCTCGAGTTAATGTAACCATCCCGGTGTATGAAAAAAGTAAGTGCCGGAAAGCAACCAGTGTAACGGAAGCAAAAGTGGATGGTGTAATGGCTAAAATGTCAGGTTTAATATCTAGAGTAAAACTTGTAAAGCCTATTGTGCCAAAGTGGTAAAGCGCTTTCTTAATCTTACTATTCTCGAATTAGTTCTGTATTTATCGATGGCGTAAGAACGAAGGGGACCGCACATGACCCATATACGATGTGCCGGTCTTATCAGGCTTCTGGTTGTGGGCGTCACAACGCGCTCTGCGCATAAACAAATAATTCCTGTTTTTTGGTGATAGCGGTCGACGTCAACACCAGATAATCGTTTTTAAGGCGACAAACTAATAAGTGTGAAAGATATCCGGAACTTCACGTTTATTATCCAGACACTGTTTTCTGCGTTCATCCCTGCTGTTTTTTCGGGGATCGATCGCCATCTTAGAATGAAACAGACAGTAGGCGTCTAAGCCAGTGATTACAAATCACCAAGACATATAACAAGACAGGTTACAGCTTGCGCTTGGAAGAGAATCGGACAGGCAAACCACCGGCTGTGTAGATAGAGTGAGAACGAATTCAGTGCTTCTATTTCGTGTTTACGAGATGATTGTCTCCAGGAGAGGTGATGATCTACCGGCGCATCGTGTTTTTTGACAACGTAAGGTTCACCTATTGATTTTAGGTCAGTACATGTGAAAAAGAGAAGGCCTTCGCAGCGGAGTTATTTATTAGGAAATGCCAACTGACCGGTTACAGACCATTGAACAGGGAAGCAAAACTCTAATCTGCATCTTAGTTACAAAAACTGGACACAGATCTTCTCCCGAACGAGTCTTCCTAGAGATTCGTTGCCTCCACTCATTCGTCGGTCAAATCCAAGCAAATGTTACAAAGTGGCCCCACGAATTCCGCAACAGAATTCCCTTTTTCAATCGACGCAAAGCGAAATTCTACGAACAACACATACTACTCGCGTGCCTCCCGATCAGTAGTATCACCGTTACACACCTCCACCCCTTAAAGCTCGTTCGCATGCCATCGATTTTCATTTCCCTCCGTCAGGTCGGCTTCGGCAGCGGGTCTGCTCGGCCGCTCTTCAGGTGTATCATGCCACTTGAGAAGCTGCGTCCCATTCACTACTTTCGATCCCCGACCATCTTGAATGGTATAGACGTTCCCCTACGGTCGGTGACGACAAACGGCCCTTGCCATCGACTTGGTTGGAAGCTTCGAACTTCAGGGTGATGACCGCTGGCGATACTTCATCTTAATAAACAATGGCCAGTTCTCAAAACGGCCTGAATTTTCTCTGGCGATCGATTTCCTTCATTATTCAGGCACTAGATGACCGAGTTCCGCCAATTTGTTCGATTAAGCCAATAAGAAAAATATGGTCGCAGGGTGAATTATTTTCATACAGATTTTCACCGAGGAAAAGGATAAAATAGGCTAAACAACATGCAATAAATACACTAATGTCGTCAAATATTTCTGAAATATCCCAAGGCTCTCAGTGGAATAATGTTTATTTAGAGTTAAGCTTGAGCTCATCCAGGTGTCCAGCTGCCCGGAAGTAGAATAAATATCTCTCTGGTTTTATTGGGAAACATGGAGACTTTGCTTCGACGAGTCGGAATTTCTTAAACTCCCATGTGCCCCAATTGGCTCTGTTACACACGTCGTGGCTCTAAGGTGAACGTAATATGCCCCAACTCACTTTAAAATGATGCACAACACAAATGTCTTCAGCAAAACACAGAAACCAGCTCTATCCATGCGGTAACGACGCTTAACGCAGCTTACTTCTCGGTCTGAACCTCCCAAACTGGTGTTTCTGACAAAAAACAACGTAAACTAGATAAAAACCATTGTAAAGAGCGCTATATGTAAAGCGTCTGATCCGACGACATTCCGGAAAGTTTGACACCTCGATGGGGAAGCTGAAACCGGGTTTCGCGGGATGCTTTGAGTTGAGTGAATCATGGGTCAGCCACAGGGCCGCCTGAAGCAGGATCAGCAAACAGTCCGCAATAATGGCCATTCGCGGGCAGGATAGACTTCCAGGCTGTGGCAGCATCAAACAGAGAGGTCACCCAAGAATCCCAATACTTTCAGCTCCAAAATTTATGCGAGTAAAGCAGATATCCTAGGCCAACATTTTGCAATTTGCTGTATATGCGCTCAATCCAAAATCACCCCAATCTACCGTAACTTATTGCGATTCCTTTTAACTAATCTTCTTTCTACACTTTTGAGGCACATTCGAATTTGAAGCTGTGGTGTAATGGGGCTTTCAGTATAGGCACAATGGAATGGAATTTTCGAAGGCTATGGCGTGAGCTATATGGACCGAATTAATCGAAGTTCAGAGTAACAGTCCAACGCCTTGAAAACAATAGAGGCACCGCAGCGTCTCAGTAGGACTGGGTAATTATTTCACCAGACGTTTCCGCAAGATGTTGATTGCTCCAGTGGAGAGTAAAATTTGGTGAGCTGCCAAAATGTGGACGTAGATCACACACAAAACATACGTACACACCTAACGAAACGCAACATTGTGGCACGAAAGGTTTCATTCCACAACTAAATGTTTTGCAGCTCCAAAACCTTGTGCAGCCAATGGGCTCAGTGTTTTGGCGGCGGGATCTCAGTGATCGCAAAATGGAATTGAAATCAAGATAGATCTAAGGTGTCACTGACTGAATGAAGCAACAATGAAATCGAACTCAGAGAATTACTCCAAACCTAAAGGCCCCATTATTGTATCCAGGAGTCTCAAAAGTGCTAGGAAAGAATTACAACGAAAATTCCGCAACAGCATTGGTTGCTTCAGCGAACAATAAAATTAGGTAACTTGACAGAATATGAAATTAGATTAACACGCAAATAAACGCGACATTTTGGCGTAGGAATTTTTACTTTACTCGTAAAGGTTTCGCAGCTGAGAGCATTGTGTGAATAATGGCACCGTGTTACGCCTTCAAAATTAGCATCAAATATGTTCATTGAGAAATTGGGGACTGTATCCTTTTCATCCTTCGTGGCGTTTGGGAAGGCGTTGAATGGATACATCAACGACAACTACGTAGTATTTCTGCGCTCACCTGGTAACTGAAGCGCCCACACCGACTTGCGTCATGAACGGGTGTACTACATACGCATCGGTCAGCCAGCAAGGCAAACGGGAGGTTGCGGAATCCGAAGAAGATATTAAACCGAGCACGTTTTCTAATGTGAAAACGCATTCTTGTGCGGCAGTCAAGGGGAGGTCATTGTAGCCCCATATGCCCCTCCAGATGGCAGAAGATTGCGTTGTTTCGATGCCTCCCATATGTAGTGAATGTAGACGGAACGCACACCGCAAGCAGTTTTGGGTGGGATTTTTAAAGCACCTAATATTCGGCCCGTAGGTACAAGCTGTATACCTTTCTGATCACGGATGGCATGGGTAGCGGACGTCCGATGATGTATGCCTCCGTGGAGGGCGAACCGTTTGCCCCCTATGCGTAAACTGCCTGACTGTTCAAGGAAATGGTGGAGGCAGTATCTCGTAAAGACTTTTGTCATGGCAAGTTTGCGGCGCAAATGCGGGCTGCAAGAGTCGTGCTCGGTTGAGATATAATGTCGTGCCACTTCCATATCAGAAAGGCTATCAGGAAGCACGTTTCATGTAATGTCTACCTATTTTTGGCTTCAGACATTCCGCGAACAGCCGACATATATTCTACCGCATGGATCGCCTGGACAATGCCATACAATGGGGGTTTGTTTATCATAACACGGGCTCAGATTCCGACAAAATTTGCAAATACGGACCCGCGTTCCGTCTCTTATCTTACGGCCCACTGGTTGTATGTCACCCGCACAATCCGGGATGGTCCAATTTGGTAGTATGACCAACAAGCGTCTGGAGAATGCGAATGGTTGTCCTAAAGACCGGGTGACCACTCCAACACACTGGAGCACGCCATACAAAACGTCAATGGCATGTCGAATCGCACATGCAATGTTTGGGGGGCATCCTGCGGTCGGTGCAAGTCAACACATTGTAGATTGTGTGTGTAGATGGGAGCTGTGTTTGGAGCAGCTTATTAGGCATGTGCGTGCGTGTGTGTGTCGGCTAGGCTCACGCCGCTCTCCGCCGTGCTCGACGTATTTTCCATGTGGTTGTCATCAACATACGCAATCCTTACAGAATTCCAACCTGGTACGATTTATCCCGCAATAATGGACGTGACTTCCGCGTTGGTAACCCAGAATAGAATGTCATTATCTTCAAAGCCTTTCAATCTCTCATCTCCTTCCAAAGTTTGTAAATGTGGTCGTTCTCGTTCAATTTACGCTACTGAACACGCTTCATTAGTGACCCTTTTTGAAAGATACGGGCTGATTACCTATTTTCATTGTTTGACCGGACTTACATAGGTGTCCGCGTACGCCTGTGAGACACATTCGTCATGGCTTTTTCAAGTACACAATCAGTCGTTGCAACCGCCCCTGTCTCTGCTGAAGGATACGCAGTGTTCGCGAAAAACCTGGGGGCCGCCTATTCTGCAAGGTTCACGAACTCGCGCAATAGCTCAAGTAACTTGGCCGAATATCTGGATCGTACCACAGCCTGAGAAACTCGAAGGCAACTGCCGTCAATGATGAAACGTCCATCAAGTGCCATCGAAAAGGTTTTGCACGTCATCCTGACAACGAAGAACTACGCCGACTACACGATCACACACCGCGCGAGGCGAAGTTCAACGCTGACAGACTGATCAGCTCTTTTCGAAGTACCAAATTTAATATGTTCAAAAATCAGGAGAGTCTTGGTACCGAAGCACGCCGAAACCATCGACTGCTGCTTGAGGAACCAGAGGCCCTTCAGCAAATGCCTAAATAGCTGAGGTTCTGCTTCATCATCCGGTTCCACGCGAGATCGAATATCGGCAGGTATCTCACCAACAGCAGCGTTTGAAACATTCGGGCGCAGCACGTGTTTGGGCGGAACAATCCAAGAAGGTCCTACTTATGTTGCCAAATATGCACTTCCCACAAGTTGCATTCCCGGCCTGGGAACTCAGTTTCACCAACAGGGACGAGGCCGCTATTTTTGAAATGGAAACAACCGTATGTCGCATTTCGTTTGTTTGATCTATGAAATGCCTGAAATTTTCCGAAGATCTCCAGACTTCTTTCCAATATATAGCACTTTTTCTACAAATCAACAGAAATATTTTTTGCACCAAATACGTATTGTGGATGTCTGTCGTAAAAGTCTCTCTGTAGACATTAGTTTTATTTTGATTGAGGCTGCGAATGACGTGAGAACTTTCTTACTAACTTTTCTTGGCGTGGTGGTTTCCAAGTCAAGTCACCATATCTAATAGTGCGGTGGCAATCTGAAAGGCAATAAGTGATGTATTTCCATTCGTTGATTATTCACCGCATCGCGCTCGCACAGTACGTAACATTATCAAATGTTTTCCGCTACCCAGTTTCTTTAAGCTTTTTTACGGGCACGCATACATCAAACTTTGGAGGTATTGGGCATCTCTTGATTTTATTCGAGTAAAATACCAACCATTTTCTGAAAAAAACTTTCATCTTACCTAACGCTTCGAACTGGGCCAAATGTAGAGTACCGCGTGGAGCACACTATTTCATTCACTACTCAAGCCCCGACGCCTCAAGGTGGAGTGGTTTAATGGGAAAATTGGATTATGGGAAGCCATACGAGTGTTACGGAAGGGCGTGACGTGTCTGATATGGAATCATTAGAAAGCCATGTCAGACGCGTCTCGTCGCGACCTCCATACTGTCGGCTAGCCTAACCTAAACCGCTCATGCCGTCGAATGATATCTCACCCCGTCTCCAAAATGGCATCGTACTTGTACTCAACCCATCCACTTATAGTTTTGAGCAGCGACAAGCACGGAACGATACTCAGTGATTAGTGGCAACAGAAGTCGGCCACGCAACCAGAACATACACATACGGGAAACTTGCTGCGTCCAGAATCACTTGCCGACATCTACTAAACTTAGCAAATTAACATAGCTTGGAAACCAACAGGCTGCTAGTCTGCTCCCATTGGACCCGGGATTTAACGGCACAATTATCGTTTAATTAGGTGCTTTGGACTTGGCATGACATGGAACTCAAACCGCCAGAGCTGTGTTGGACGTGGCCTTGAATTACGTTCAAGAAGCGCGTTAACATTTTGATCACGAACGTTTCGACGTGTTTGTTTTACGGCTTGACAGCATGGTTCAGCATACGGGTTCACAAGAAATCCCCCATCAACCTGAACACGAACACGTGTATTGCATTCTGTGTCTGTTGGTTGGAATTTCAAGTAATCCACACCGGCGAGTGACGGGATGTGGCAGTATATGACCCAAGGCACCATTTTCGGGCGTAGGTCATCGATGGACCAGCCACCGGACAAACTTTGCTGGAATTTTTATAAGATGGCAACGTATGTGCTGAATGCGGTCTTGAAGATGCACAGGAGAAAAAGGACGCACAACAAACTCAGCGCAGTGTCCATTTTGTTCACGTTGATACCATCGAAGCTGCGATTTTCAACGAACCGCTGTAACTACCTTTTGGTGCCTTTTACGAGCAGAAATTTGATTAAAATCAAAACTTGCGCTATGGCATCCACGCACCGGTTATGGTGCACGTGCTTGCCTTAAACGTGCCGCTTTGTTGTGATTGATTAAGTCCATGCGTACTTATATGTTCTCAAGTTCGTGTTCCTGTGTTTTTCAGGACTGTTTCCAGTTGACGGCTCATTTTACTCATCAATAGGTCTGCATTTACCCAATTTTATAGGTCCACCGCACAAAGCCTACCCCTTTTCAACGATGCACGTTGGTATGACCAGTGTTTGACTGGGTTAACGGGGGACAGGTGCCTTAATTAGCCGGAAAATTTGCCCGATATAATATATGTTTAATTAAATCTCAGGCTAGATGCTGGTTGCCGCAGAAAAAACGGAAACGAAAATACAATCGTGTTTTACGGATGCACAGTGGCCAACGAACAGTGTACTAGTGGAAAGAATTCTCTCTTGTTATCTCTCATACGAATTTTACGCGTAAAATGAATACCTCTCTTATGGCTGAATGGCGCATTAGTCAACAGGGATTTATGTGGTCAACGCCGGCGTCGCGTTTAATTTGAAATCGGGACGTACATAATGAAATTCTCTGGACGACAAACAAACCCCGCATGTTGACTGCCATCTGCTTTGCGTTGCGTCTACGGAACGAAATGACTATAAAACACAGAAGTGGTGCCCTTTTCAGTAAGTGCGCTGGCGCACTATAATCCCGCCTTTGGTTTCCGGAGTGCGACCATAACAAAGAAGGTGAGGACTGTGACGCTGCACACATAACAGCGAAGGTTACATTGATCGGACGCCCTACTCCCCACGGGTGGCGAGTCGTAAGAACGCCGTCACTAAAACCATTGATTTGATCATACTGGGAAGAATCCGACAAGAAGTCAAATGTTGAATATTTACACCCGTAGGATAGCAAGCTTTTGGCTAACCAGACGAAGAAGTGATACACCGATGCCTCACATAAACGGTGTTCATTATTTCAGTACTTGTACGGAGTGTGCTAGTTGAGAGAGGTCACATAGGTCACATGAAATGTACAAATGCCGCCATTGAAAGCGCCCATTTAGTCAAACGTAAACAAATCGACGGGACATCAAGTGTGCCATGTTTGCGCCTGCGACGTGACAGGCCGATCAATGTGGTGTGTTTCCGCTAACCAAGTGGACAATAATACACAAATGGGCTAGGACGTGTGTGTAATGCGGTGTTTTCGGCTTCGTACTATCCACCGTTTGCTAACCGGAAAAGTAATGTTGCATTTGACAATGGATCTTCACCGTTGACCACGCCCTTCTGAGAAAACCTAATTTACAAATGCCAATGTAGACAGTTTAATGCCTAGTCAGCATTCCCGTCCTGGTCACATGTCTCGATGGTTGCTGCTTGCAGCGCGTGGATTGTCACATTTTAGACCTCTGTACTGGACGCTGCTTGAGAAATTCGGCTGTCATACGGGGAGCAATACATACTCAATACAGGGGGTGCAATTCAGCCGAGACAATCTTGTATGCGCTTGTTTATGCAACGGTACCCTTGATGGCTATTTTGCCTCTATACTGACAATAACGCTCAAGAAATAGTAGACTTACATGGAATGCAGAGTTCTCATAAGTGGACGAAATCTTTTGAGCTGGTGGGTCACATGAGATCATCTTTGTCTTATTCCTCTAGCTGACGCTCTACAGCGTTAGCCGTATTGTTCAGATATATACTCACGGCTGTATAGTGATCAAAATGTTAACGCGCTTCTTGAACGTAATTCAAGGCCACGTCCAACACAGCTCTGGCGGTTTGAGTTCCATGTCATGCCAAGTCCAAAGCACCTAATTAAACGATAATTGTGCCGTTAAATCCCGGGTCCAATGGGAGCAGACTAGCAGCCTGTTGGTTTCCAAGCTATGTTAATTTGCTAAGTTTAGTAGATGTCGGCAAGTGATTCTGGACGCAGCAAGTTTCCCGTATGTGTATGTTCTGGTTGCGTGGCCGACTTCTGTTGCCACTAATCACTGAGTATCGTTCCGTGCTTGTCGCTGCTCAAAACTATAAGTGGATGGGTTGAGTACAAGTACGATGCCATTTTGGAGACGGGGTGAGATATCATTCGACGGCATGAGCGGTTTAGGTTAGGCTAGCCGACAGTATGGAGGTCGCGACGAGACGCGTCTGACATGGCTTTCTAATGATTCCATATCAGACACGTCACGCCCTTCCGTAACACTCGTATGGCTTCCCATAATCCAATTTTCCCATTAAACCACTCCACCTTGAGGCGTCGGGGCTTGAGTAGTGAATGAAATAGTGTGCTCCACGCGGTACTCTACATTTGGCCCAGTTCGAAGCGTTAGGTAAGATGAAAGTTTTTTTCAGAAAATGGTTGGTATTTTACTCGAATAAAATCAAGAGATGCCCAATACCTCCAAAGTTTGATGTATGCGTGCCCGTAAAAAAGCTTAAAGAAACTGGGTAGCGGAAAACATTTGATAATGTTACGTACTGTGCGAGCGCGATGCGGTGAATAATCAACGAATGGAAATACATCACTTATTGCCTTTCAGATTGCCACCGCACTATTAGATATGGTGACTTGACTTGGAAACCACCACGCCAAGAAAAGTTAGTAAGAAAGTTCTCACGTCATTCGCAGCCTCAATCAAAATAAAACTAATGTCTACAGAGAGACTTTTACGACAGACATCCACAATACGTATTTGGTGCAAAAAATATTTCTGTTGATTTGTAGAAAAAGTGCTATATATTGGAAAGAAGTCTGGAGATCTTCGGAAAATTTCAGGCATTTCATAGATCAAACAAACGAAATGCGACATACGGTTGTTTCCATTTCAAAAATAGCGGCCTCGTCCCTGTTGGTGAAACTGAGTTCCCAGGCCGGGAATGCAACTTGTGGGAAGTGCATATTTGGCAACATAAGTAGGACCTTCTTGGATTGTTCCGCCCAAACACGTGCTGCGCCCGAATGTTTCAAACACTGCTGTTGGTGAGATACTTGCCGATATTCGATCTCGCGTGGAACCGGATGATGAAGCAGAACCTCAGCTATTTAGGCATTTGCTGAAGGGCCTCTGGTTCCTCAAGCAGCAGTCGATGGTTTCGGCGTGCTTCGGTACCAAGACTCTCCTGATTTTTGAACATATTAAATTTGGTACTTCGAAAAGAGCTGATCAGTCTGTCAGCGTTGAACTTCGCCTCGCGCGGTGTGTGATCGTGTAGTCGGCGTAGTTCTTCGTTGTCAGGATGACGTGCAAAACCTTTTCGATGGCACTTGATGGACGTTTCATCATTGACGGCAGTTGCCTTCGAGTTTCTCAGGCTGTGGTACGATCCAGATATTCGGCCAAGTTACTTGAGCTATTGCGCGAGTTCGTGAACCTTGCAGAATAGGCGGCCCCCAGGTTTTTCGCGAACACTGCGTATCCTTCAGCAGAGACAGGGGCGGTTGCAACGACTGATTGTGTACTTGAAAAAGCCATGACGAATGTGTCTCACAGGCGTACGCGGACACCTATGTAAGTCCGGTCAAACAATGAAAATAGGTAATCAGCCCGTATCTTTCAAAAAGGGTCACTAATAAAGCGTGTTCAGTAGCGTAAATTGAACGAGAACGACCACATTTACAAACTTTGGAAGGAAATGAGAAATTGAAAGGTTTTGAAGATAATGACATTCTATTCTGGGTTACCAACGCGGAAGTCACGTCCATTATTGCGGGATAAATCGTACCAGGTTGGAATTCTGTAAGGATTGCGTATGTTGATGACACATGCATGGAAAATACGTCGAGCACGGCGGAGAGCGGCGTGAGCCTAGCCGACACACACACACACACGCACATGCCTAATAAGCCCAAACACAGACACGCACATGCCTAATAAGCTGCTCCAAACACAGCTCCCATCTACACACACAATCTACAATGTGTTGACTTGCACCGACCGCAGGATGCCCCCCAAACATTGCATGTGCGATTCGACATGCCATTGACGTTTTGTATGGCGTGCTCCAGTGTGTTGGAGTGGTCACCCGGTCTTTAGGACAACCATTCGCATTCTCCAGACGCTTGTTGGTCATACTACCAAATTGGACCATCCCGGATTGTGCGGGTGACATACAACCAGTGGGCCGTAAGATAAGAGACGGAACGCGGGTCCGTATTTGCAAATTTTGTCGGAATCTGAGCCCGTGTTATGATAAACAAACCCCCATTGTATGGCATTGTCCAGGCGATCCATGCGGTAGAATATATGTCGGCTGTTCGCAGAATGTCTGAAGCCAAAAATAGGCAGACATTACATGAAACGTGCTTCCTGATAGCCTTTCTGATATGGAAGTGGCACGACATTATATCTCAACCGAGCACGACTCTTGCAGCCCGCATTTGCGCCGCAAACTTGCCATGACAAAAGTCTTTACGAGATACTGCCTCCACCATTTCCTTGAACAGTCAGGCAGTTTACGCATAGGGGGCAAACGGTTCGCCCTCCACGGAGGCATACATCATCGGACGTCCGCTACCCATGCCATCCGTGATCAGCTTGTATCTGCGGGCCGAATATTAGGTGCTTTAAAAATCCCACCCAAAACGGCTTGCGGTGTGCGTTCCGTCTACATTCACTACATATGGAAGGCATCGGAACAACGCAATCTTCTGCCATCTGGAGGGGCATATGGGGCTACAATGACCTCCCCTTGACTGCCGCACAAGAATGCGTTTTCACATTAGAAAACGTGCTTAGCGCCGCGCTGCGAACCTAATACAAATTCGAATAAGCCCCAAATGTTTAGAAAGTGGATGAAGGAAATCAATTTCATAAATTACGGCAGAATGGGGTGCACACGCAAGCACGTATTGTAGAAAATGTAACAATTTTGCCTGAAATGTTTCTCCTCCCATCATATTTTTTGTGGATTCATTTCGTCCCGAGGACTCCTCTAAGTGACTGGCATCGGAGTGTCACTCTCCACCTGGGACAAACTCCTGGTTCATTCATCCTTGCCATATCACAGGGAATGTCGTGCAGTTCTTTGCGTTTGTGCTTCTTGTCACACATCGGCGTCTACGTATCCAGCCAGCATACGGCTTCTTAGTCATGTGCGCTATTGAGTGTAGTAATATTGGCTCTGAGTTTTGGGAAACTGGTCATAACCAGAAATGTACGCGAGTGTCTAGGTCCTCCAGATATAGATGATTGCGTGAAAACAAGTGCAGCTACATTGATATTCATACGATACACTTTTACGTTTCAGCACACATGGAGGCCAAGATTTCTGGTGTGTGGGTGCCGATATCTGCCCTTCTTAGTCATGTGCACTATTGAGTGTAGTAATATTGGCTCTGAGTTTTGGGAAACTGGTCATAACCAGAAATGTACGCGAGTGTCTAGGTCCTCCAGATATAGATGATTGCGTGAAAACAAGTGCAGCTACATTGATATTCATACGATACACTTTTACGTTTCAGCACACATGGAGGCCAAGATTTCTGGTGTGTGGGTGCCGGATCATATCTGCCCTCGGAGCGGTATTTAAGGCTAGGAGTTTTGCTATGACGCTATTGCGAAACGTCATAATTTTTTTATCTCGTGCCACTCTGGGCGTTACACGTTTCGAAAATATGTGCAGCCACCAGGTTGAATTCATACAATCCCTCCCTCCCTCCCAGTTAGAGGTACTCTCACCGCCAGGAGGCTGAAAGCGACCCATCATGCACATCACCTGATGTGCAGCCCCAAAACCTTGGAACCTATAATAACGACGAAAATTTGGGAGAGCGTAAATAAAAAATATAGCATGTCCAGCAGCATTTAACCGCGGTGACCCTGAACTTAACGGAATGAACTGAGCTAGACCCTGACCCTGAAACGTGCACGCATTTTAGGGCGCGTTGCCTGAAGTATTTTCGCCATCGGGACATGCTAGATTTTTTTGTTATACTAACTAAAGGGGGAATTCGGTTGTGGTGTTTTCCCAGCACGGTGGAGATGTTCAGAGTGTCTATTAATACATTTCTCAAATCTTTAATATTGAAGGTGATCAGCAGCCATCCCCAATTAACATCCGTTTAGGAAAATGCTGGACAATCTCCTTTCGTTCACGATTCTCGCGCCATCAAAATGCATATGGACAATGAATTCAACCTTCTGTTCATCGTGAGTTTGTTTTTTGGGTCTAGCTTTCAGGCTGCCTATCAAAATATCTTGCAGTTGACCTATGTGGACAAATTTTTAACTTCCATAGCACTCGAGTTTAGAGACAAATACAAAAATGAGTTGCGCGCGAACAACATTATGTGTAAATTTGACGAACTAGCCGAGATTTATACAGAGAATTTGAAAAGAATTGAGCGAGAGGACCGTGCTTTGCGTAAATCTGCTAAGTGGGTAGCTGCTTCCTAAAATTTACTGTCAGACCAATGCGTACCTTCGAGGAATCCGAAAAGTCAAAGAAAACGGTGGCCTCCATGATCATATCAGGACCCAAGAAGTCTGAGCGAGTCGCTCCTGAGAAGAAAGCGTCCAAGACTGAATCTCCGAAGCTGTCCGAAGGCCATGAAGGTGCGCTTATTCCCGTGCTTTTTATTCCGTATAGTTCAGACGGATTCTGCCGAGGATATGCTGGCCCAGAAGAGGCGAAAGCTCGCAGAGAAGTTGAAAGCCTCAAAGAAACCAAAGGAATCCACCAGGTAAATATTTTATTCGAAATATTTCTTGTTGTCTTGGTTTTATACATTTATCAGACGATGTGTCGTGGCAGATAAACTGTACTGCACCTTTTCATATTACTCGGCCAGTCAGCATCGCCATTACTGACAGCATTAAAGCACTCACAAACCTGTGGGCCAAAATATTAATTGATCTGGTTGGAGCGTCACATGAAGAGGGACAATCGACGAGCCTAATATTGGTCTGGATTGCGACAGGGCTTCATTTGTACTAGTGTAATACCCACATTACTGGTTACGGCATCTAAGAAATGTCGCACTCAAGGCGACGTTGAAGTATGGGGGGATATTTGAATAGCTAGAAAGGTAGATGTCAGTTCATTGTCCGCTATGCCGTATACGGCAAGTAAGACGACCGGGTTTATGAAGCCAGATAACGACCGATGTAGCAGAAAACCTGCCGCAGTCGTCATCATCCAGAAGAATTTTAAAGTAGCATATTCGTAACTGGCGAACAACGGTGACGATCCACTTGTGGCTGGCATAACCGTTTGAAGTGCCCACATCCTCAACCCCCAGTCATACACTATGGATTAGAAAATGGAAAGTGTTAAAG